TTTTAAATACTAAGGCCAGATCCTCATCCCACGCATGCACCCCCACCCCCCACCCCCCACCCCCTTTTGCATCACTTTAACAAAGAAATCCTAAAAGGGAAAGAAACATGCTCTTCCTTTGGAGCACTATAAGAGCAGAAAGAGTCTGCTGTGAAACAGAGATGCTGTCCCGCTGGGGATGCTCTTGTGTGAGATACATCTTGTACGACTTCAGTTTCTTGGACTCACTTTTTGGTCAGTGGAAAGGAACAAGCAGTTTAAGGGCAGAGTTCACCTGTGCTGTCTTCATGCCTATTTTAGGATAAGCTAAATCACTCCCCAGCTGTCCCCATTCCTCTGCAGAAGCTGTGAAGGCACACTAGACAGATGACTCAGCCAGCCATATACATGTCTAACACTGGTTGAAAATACTCTCATTCTTTTCATGTGGTCAGTTGCAGGATTAGCCGTGGACTCAATCTTAGCTATCTAAGCCGTGTGAGGCATAGAAGTTTCCAAAAAGTTTATCTGCTATAGTATTGTCGATCATAAGTCAGCTACCCAAAATCATGAAAATGGTGTAAGACGTTATTAAATACAATACTTCTGTCTTCTTTCTTCTACTTCAGCCTTTGGAGTTTTCAGGTATGTTTTGTGATGCTTTCCACTCTTACCCTTCATCTCCTGGCCTAGATGAAAGGATATTTTAAAATGAGGGGAAGGAGTCTTCTAATTGTTTGACTCTGGGAGCTGAGTATAAACTCAGCAGCCATGTCAGTGCCACATATATTCCAATGCAAAATAATTCTCCATAAATAAGATCTGTTAGGACACTAGTATTTTGCTAAGAGTCAGAAATGGGAGTATAGTTCAGTTTTACAATTGAAATTTTACTAGCTGTTATGGTGTTGCACTAAGATGTATTTGCTAAGGTTGAACCCAAGACATGAGGTGTAGTAGACTGACTACAATCTCAGTCAGACCCAGTGCTGCAAATACCTTCAAGGACAAAACCAGGCGCTCCCATTTCCCACTGGTTTGAAGGCGTTTGTCCTACTGTTTGGACTGCAAACATGTCTTCTTTAGGTGGCATTGCCCATTTAGATGAGTGCCAAAATGCTGTCAAGGCTGATGGCACACGGCAGCTGTTTCACTCATCATGGGTGAGCAACTTATTGTGAAATCATGAAAAAGCTCTTCTATTTTGCGCTACTGTTTAGGCAGGAGTTTAATCAGGAAATGCAGAAACTCGTATTGAGTAGAGACCTCAATGCAATAAGTGATGTTGCAAGATGTGAAGTATCCCTTTGGCTGAAGGCCAAATGGTGTGACAGCCTGAGATCTGTCTCTGCAGAACTTATATAGGCTGTGCCTCCTGATTGCCTCTTTGAGGTTGCAAGCTCAAAGCTGAATATAGTTCTTAGCCATCTTCTCTGTTCTGCGTTTATCATTGCACTGAGCATAAATTCCAATGGCAAACAAACTTTTATTATCCACTATCAACATCCCACTGTTCAAAGAGCTTGCTACCCAGGACAAACCAGTTTTTCAAGTCCAGACCTGAACTTATGACTGGCTATGCAGTGAATCATCTGATATGGCGCTTTGGTCACAGCCTGACTGTGGAGAGGAACCTCAAAAGGGGAAATGGAGGTTGTAAAAAAAGAAGAAAAAGACTCAAAGTGAAGAAACGCTCAGAGGAGAAGGAAGATAAAAACTTTATAATACCAACTGCAGCTGCTTGGGAAGTGTCAACAGAGAGATGCTTTACTCCAGGTTCTTTAAAGGTGTACTGGCTTTTTTTTTCTGCCAAAACATGCCTCTCCCTCTCCGGTTTCGTGTGTGACACAGCGGGCAAAGTCAGCATGTCGTCACAGCTGCCCTGTTGCGGTGCAGAGCTGTGTGCGCTGCGTCAGAGGCCCCCACCCCACGCTGCACCCAGGCTGTGCTCTGATAATCCTCCTCATCTGTAATGAGAAGCAGCAAGTGAATGGGGTTTTACAACTTCTGTACTGGGAAAAGCTTTTGAGCAGTTTGTGGCACAGGCATTGCTATTTGTAAGGCATAGCTGATCATCTAAACAGTTAGTGGAGGGGTAATGGGAGCAATTTCACATGCAGCCAAATAGTGACAACATTTCTCATGCCATTGCTGCCATTCATAAGCTTCTGCAATTATCTGCATAACCTTCATACTTGTAGGTACAACTGCAAACATAATCTGTGCCATAATTGTGGCTTTCCCCTTCTCCAAGACATATAGAAAAGCACTGTGTAGCCAGGAAATAAGAAATCATCAGCTCATAGAGAAGATTTAACCTGAAAATCTGTCACTTAATTGAAACTGCTTGTTTGCTTTTAATCTTAAATGACAATATTTTTACTTTGGATACCACTAAATATAGATATGAAACATGTAGGAATTGTAGTTTCTATTCAGCAGCCATATTTAACATCCATGAGGAAATGTATTTAACTTTGGCGTTATTTTCTATTTGCCATCTTAGAAAAGAAGCGTCTATCATGTCCTAGGAAAGTCTACTTTTGCTTTTTCCAAAGAGATCAGTAAACTTATAAAATGCAGGCAGATTCCTCAAGGTTTAGGAAGAACTCCGATCTTACCAGAACTTGCTTGTGGTTAATGTTCAATAGGCATATTTAAAAAAAGCTACCAAAAAGCAAAGAAAATCCCAGAAGTTCTGGCAAATTTCTTCAACATCCACAGCCATAAGTATAAAATTGTGATGAGAACAAGTTTCAGATCTAATTCACGTCTACCTTCAGCTGTTCAAATTTCCTAGACCAAATGAGAAACTCAGCTGTGCTGGTCTCACACCTCCTGAGGCTGGAGGCTGGGGAAGGGTCCAGAGATGCTGTGAAGCACTTCGCCTGCAGACAGGCCTGGGGTCCTCTGACAGCCTGGGACTGTATACCACTCCAGGAATCACTCCGGGGTGTTGCTGGCACAGACCCCACCCACCTGCCCAAAATCCAAGAGTGCTGTGAAGGAAAGTGGGGAGGCAAAGAGGGAGTGGGCCACTTGTGCGTGTGAAGGCCTTGGACACCAGCCTTTCCCGAAGGGCCAGTGTGTGAATGCTCACGCTTGCTTCCTGTAGCATCACTGCCCTACCACAGTTTCCTTCAGACATCTCTGACTGAACACCTGGGCTAAGCATCTCACAGAGAACACTGTTACAGCTTAAACCTTCTTTAATAGCTAGCTACTGCGCGTGAAGATACATAGCTGTGTAGTTTTTGGTGCAAAATGCTGTTTCCAAACCCCGCTTACAATAAACTAAGTTTACTGCAACTGCATGGTCTGATTGCAGACTTATCTCTCAAATCCTGTGTCATCTGTGATTCTCTTATTACCCTTCATGGCCCTTTTCATATAATTTTATATGGCCCTTTAAACTTTTCTCATGATTCATCTGTGGCTATGGCATCCCTCCATAAAGACACCCACATTTCTCAACTTACTTATTTGTTGAGTGCTTTAGATCTAAACCATACCACTCAGTTGTTTCTCCCAGTCCTTACAAAATCTGTATTTCATGAGCACAATTATTTTTAGGAACATTCTCAGATTCAGGGTGGATATTGCGAAATAAGCTAGTCAGACAGCCAATCTCCTAGAGTTAGAAAAAAGAGTCTTACTCCAGAAAGGAGCCCAGAAAGTTAAAGGCAGGTATAGAGCCACTCATAAAAGTGGGAATGGCTGTGTCTGTTTAAATACATTTAGTGAAAGTGAATGGAGAGATTACAACATCACACCTTCATTAAAAGCTGGCTTAGAGAGCACCCAGAGGAAGTTGTTTTCAATGTAGAGTAGATTTTATTTGTTGTAGATCCTATAAATCCAGGGTCTAAGTTGCATCTTTTTGTCACCATCTACAGGTGTGTTATATACTAACACTTTCCATTTTTTTTCAAATACATACAGCTGAATTGAAGAATGTGAACCGACAGTGACGTCTGAAAAATGGGCTTGGGACAAGAAGGCTTCATAAATCAGTTCAGTCCGGCACGTCCTTAATCTCTCTTATTTAAATCCTTTGTGCTCACCTGCAAAATAAAGCTTCTTTTTTTATAACGAGCCCAGGGGAACCTGTGTCTGACCCTCATACCTCCAAGGACTGGTATATGGGGCTTCTCTAGAAAATGGGCTGATAGAAAAACCAGAGCAATGATGCCTTTATTTTCCCCTCAGGATTCCTAGTTTGAGGAGCACAAAAGAAAACAAACAAGACATAAAACAAAACTAATGAAACAGGTTTATTGCCTTGTCTTCTGGGATGAATCTGGCTCCTGTTGCCGAGAGGTATCCTGAATCTGACGCCAGAACCGTGATTGCTGTGCTGGGGCTCACTATACTTCTGGAAACCTGCACAGCTGGACAATTTGTGCACCACAGTGCTCAGGTTCCCGGGGTCCTGATTTGGTGAGGAAGAGGAAAAGGATCTGAAGCAGACACCAAGAGAGAGAAAATGGTGGCAGATTCCTTACCCATCCTCTGCAGGGATAACAAAGACCCATCACTTTATTCCGGTAGAACGTTTGGAGTGGGAAGGTGAACACAACCGAATGAATGTTGTCAGTGTGGGTAATGAGAGAGTAAACCCTGTAACCTAAAAGCAGGTCGTGAAATGTTTTTATTCTCACTTCCCCTTCTTTTGAAACTATGACTTTTGCTGCATTATCTATTTACTTTTGAGGTGTAGGACAAGACTAACAGGATGTTAGAAAAGCACAAATCACAAGGGTTCAGTAAGAGTCCGGAGACTCCGTGATAACACCTGGTAGTGCTTCCCCAATGCTCTGGTTAATATTTACCTGTGGTATAGGAACTATTTAAGTAACTGTTGATACCTTGGTCACAATTTTTGCTTTTAGTAGCAGAGCACGGTGTATTTGACGTGGTCTGAGAGGTTTTCTGAAGACACAGGAACAACTTTTATATCAAGGTCAAACTCCTAGGAAAGCTTCTTCTGCAGTGCTCATTTTTGCCTCGGCTTGTTGAAAATGGCGGGGGTAAGCGGCTGCATGAAGTATTCCATGTTCATCTTCAACTTCTTATTTTGGGTAAGTTGGTATTTAAATTGTTATTAGTGATGTGTGAAATGTGTTTGACATTATCTGAAGGCTGTAGTTGAAGAAACTGTAAAGAAAATAGAGCATAAGTGGAAACAGAGTGTGAATCTAAATCAGGGAGGGGAGAATATGTTTAACTTTTGCCTTTCCCTTTGTCTTTTTCCTTCAAAATAGCTTTCCCTCTGCATTCAAAAGTAGACCAGCCAGGAGTCTGTGTCCCTGCCCATATTGTGCCCCTCATATAAAGGCACATCACTCATTTCAGTCAGAAGATACACTCTCCACTTACAATGAATCGTTCTCTTGCTTTTATTGTCTGCTGCTGGCACCCAAATGGCATAATCCTGAAAAAGCAGTTGCAACAGAAGATATGCAAAATTCACTCGTATTTTTAGCCTCCTAATTGATAAACGATTTTCATATCCTTCTTTGAGGTTCTTTGCTATATGTTCAGTGTCATAATTAGTTTCTGATGGTGGACAGTGAACGTTTGTAAAATAGTATGGGCTGGCAGTACTGCCAATAGCTGTATCAAGGCAGACACAGCACAGGACAGCAGGCAGGTTTCTGGATGGCGTTTGAACTGTATTTGGCTATTTATCACATCTCAGCTGGTTTGCAAGTATTTCAGGTCCTGGAAACTCAGGAAAGGTTTGAGTTAAAGAACTTTTCTCTCATGGTTCAACCTCACTGTCAGCTTTCCCGACAAGAGATTTGTCAGGTTCACCAGAGGTTCACTGAAACCAGAAGCGGAACTACAAGCCACATTATGGGCTTCGCCTCAAGGGATTTTTTTTGAGTGAAAAGGTGATACCATTCAAAAGGGACCACAAACAGTAGCCTTGGAAAATTTGTGGCTTGCCAAAATGAGAAGAATTAGCAAAACTCTTTGATCACTTTGGACCTCACAAAGAAATTCCTAACAGGGCAATGATGGTTTGGACTGCCTCCCCCCTTTTCTTCCTCCACCTCCATCAAGGCAGATTGAAGATATTTGACATCTGTGTTGAAGTTTTTCTGCAATGGTACTTAAAAGAGTCCATAAGTTTCTGACTTGGAATTCCTGCCCCTCAGCAAGTTTTTCCTGTTCACGTTCATCTGTATTTACTGTAAGCTAAAACATAGGCAAATGTCTCAGACTAGCGTTAGAAAAGTTCCAAATTACTTCTGGAGCGAATATGTGAATAATGGCCATGCCAAAGCCTCCAGTGACAGCATGGGGCTCCTAGGAGAAAACACAGGATGTGATCCTGGGGAGGGGGAGGGGCTTGAAAACTCAGGAAAGAAGCAGGTGTGGAACAAACTTCCCTAACCTGTCTTTATGCCAAGGTAGGAAAACCCATACTCTGTACTGAGAGCATTTGCTGTGCATGTGACTGCCTGGGTGGGACAGAGGAGGACAGGAATGCAGCTATAGTTACTTATTTTAAAGGAAGGGATTTAGCACTACCAAGATAGGGAAGAACAGACGTGGTGCAAACAGGAATATGTGCCAACGGAGTACAACAAAGATGAATTTTTTCCTTCACATTCCTGTCTTTAATTCCTGGAAATCATTAAATTGCTGTACTAAAGTACAGGGAACAGTGATGTCATTGCTCTCATAGCTGTTTTCCTGGTGCACAAGGCAGTTGGCAAATGGAAAATTAAACCGATAGTGGGAAATGAAGGTGACTTTAACCTTAAAGAGATGACAGCAACGGCTGCATATTTACCTGGCGTTCTTTCATTTCAAGCCCTTTACAATCTGTCTGGGAGTGTCCCTTCTTAGGGGACTTGGGAATGGCCTTTCTAGCCTTCTAGCACCTCTTCTTAAGCAGATTTTAAAGCATAGCCCAAAGCGTGTAAGCCCTGGAATGGTCTAAGCTAGCTCTGCAAAGTGGCTCTGGCTTTGCTACCCTTTGCCTCATCTCTTACGTGACATGTGCCCTTGGGGAATCTGCAGCCCTGTGCTGGACTCTAGCTTGTGCATAGAGTTTTGTATCCTCCCAGTTTGGTGAAAGAAAGCTGAGAACAGGCTTTTGAAGATCTGTGCTTTGGAGCAGAGTGCCTATGGGGAGCTTGTAATAGTCCTTAAATTCATCCTTAAGTCAGTTTTGTGCTTTAAACCTGACAGTTCAGATTTTTCCTGTTTCCCTTCTTCAGAGTTTGCAGGATATCTCACCTGCTGCCCTCATTCTGTCAGCTTCTGCTACTCCATATCATGCAAAATTGCAGAATTCCTTTTTCCTTTGCACTAAAAGTTAAAGTCTGATCCCTAGTTTGATGCAACCTGATTAGTGATGGGGTGATCTTTGATCAGCTGTTAATACCAGACTTGCAGTCCCATCTACAACCAAAGTAGCTCCTTCCCCATACCTCACATCAGGCAAGAAAGTGAACCTCTCGGTCCCCAAAAGTGGCAACACAAACTTAGCAGGTATGCTGAGCCATAGACCGTGTTCTCGTAGGACCTTCCCAGAGCTGTTTATTTGAAGTATCTGAAGGAAGTATTCTAGTCAAATATTTTTCCAAACAGGGGGAACCTTGTATAAAGCTCCTCCTGATACTTTTAAACTGGTTGCTTAAAACGTGCTCCAGTGGAGGGAATTTCAAAAAAGTATGGTATTCCCATGTCTGAGAAGTAGAACGTCTTCGTATACTGCTGGTCCAGAGTCATGTCAGGCTTATCTGAGGTGGTATTAATTTAAATACACTGTTTTCTTCATCACACCAGACTGAAGGGCTTGAAAGACCCATTGAATTTGAGGGACAACAGTCCTGTTCCTGATCAGTTTATGAGACCATGACAAGGTCACTGATTCTTAGTCAAGGGTTGAGGCGAAACTTCTATAGACATCCAGTTTAGAGAAAACAGGTGAAGACCTTTTCAAAGAAGGTCTTTTTATTCCCTTGGAAAGTACTGGTTCATTAAAAATGAAACACTTTCCTGAAATGAAAGTTTCTTTAGTCAAAACTTCATTTTAAAAAAACTTAATTAGGATGAAGTATTCCAGCAAACTTGAAATGTTCTAATTGGACTTTTTGGGAACGGACCATTTTGATTTGTTATTTCAAAACTTTTCTTTGTGCGTTCTTATATACTTTGTATATTATAAAAATAAAAGGAAACAAAACATTAAGATTTTAATGAAATGGAGCATTTTTTTTAATCAGTCTAAACCAACTCTATTTTTATCATTAAAATCTATACACCTTACTAGAAATTTTGATTCATAAATAATATTTCTTTTTTGAATGAAGGAAATGAATATTATAGCATTCCCATCTGATTAGTAAGTTCCTGTGCATTCAGCTCCATTTACTTCTACTACCGTGCTGTATTTTACAAGAGGCCCTATATAACAAATAAGGCAGTGGTCCAAATTCTGTTTAGATTTATAGCAATAGCCACTTCAGTGGAAATTTTCACATTAGTGAGCCCATGCTGTCTGGTGCATAGCCACATGGCTCACATAGTACTGCTGAACAGGACCCAAATATAGAGTCATATGATACCATCAGTTTCTAGACAGATTCAGTGGGATTCAGAAGATTTCAGTGGGGAGTTCTAGTTAAATTTGATAACATGATGTAGCTGTCATCGATCGTACAACTTTCCTTTTCATGTTTAAAATGTACTTATAGGAGCTTTACTTAGAGCAGGAAAATGTGTGGTACTCATGTTTGAGTGCTGGCTCTGTTCCATATTAAATAATCTGCTAAAGTCATTATGGTCTTTGATGCTGAATATTATACGAAACCTTTAGTGGGGAAAGCATTTTTTTAGGAAAAATTATCTAAAACATATAAAAGTAGCTCGTTCAATTTAAAAATGTTAGGAGTAGTCCCAGTCTTCCTGGGAAGCTCATAACAACATTTCAGGGCCATTTATGACTTGAGTATTAATGACTTACAGAAAGATATGTCTAAATCTGACTAGACTTTGCTCCTCAGCAAAGTCTAGTCCTCTCTTTCCTGTCAGTCCTCTCAGTAGGCAAAATTCTTACACCTGATTAGCCTCTTAACTACCTGTCTCCAACACTTAATAAAGAAAAATTCTGTGTGAGAATCATCATGGACAAGGTTGGGAATAGAGTAACTGGCGCATAGTGGAATGGTACCTCAACAATCAACAAAACAGGAGCACAACTAGTGATCAAGGAAGGTGTCTGGGATTCATCTGTCCTGACTTCAGTGTCTTAAAGCATGGCATCCTGGTCTAACTTTCACATGTACACGAATGAGTATGTTTTCTTTCTGTAAAAATGTAATGGAAATAATAACTATCACAATAGGCATTTTTATAGGAGGTATATTCTAAGGATTGGAGATGGCCAGATATTGTTGCAACAGAAACAGCAGAAAGACTTTATTTAGAACTTTTCTTGATAGTTTTACCATAGAGAATATGTCTCTAGATATGCGTCCTGAATAATTCTAGAAAGAGTATTTATACCAACATCCCTTATCAAATCTCATGTGTTTCCATTATACAAGAAACAATGTTCTTTACAGTCATGTTATATACATACTATAGCAATTTATATTCTGCTCTCATCTGACAAAACTTCTCTGTGCTTCCCAACCACATGTATAAATCATCAAGGAAATGTGGAGTCCTCTGAGGTAGAAACATCAGGGATTTGGTGCATAACTGAGGATTTAACTACCCTTATGAAGTTTCCTGGATATGAATCAATATTCTATGCTCCAGCAATTCATGTGTCTTTCACTTTGCCAAACAAATGATTTCAGAATTCTGGCCAGCATCTGGTGCAATTTGGATGCTGAACATTAATCTAAACTTGCTGATCTTTCTAAATATTCTTTATTTTCTCCTGCAGGTGTGTGGTTCCATTATTTTGGGAGTCTCTATATGGATACGTGTTAGCAAAGATGCTCAGCAGGTAAATGTGTGCAGTCATACCAGAACCATGTAAAATGTGGAAGCTACTGCATACGCTTTCATTTCCCATCTTCATTTCCACAAATTTGTTATATTTTTGTTGAGGTGGTTTGTGTGGGTAAGGATGCATGCATTTTATGATGTTTAAGATTAAACAAGATGGTGCAGGTAGTCTGATAAAGTGATTGACGTGAGCACAGACATGTGACTACAAGAAATGTCTTCTAGTGTTATTAATGTAGGTTCTTGCAGATGCACACTGATTTCTGTTGGAAAACATGACTCTCTCTTCTGATGAAAACTAATGAGGGTTTTGTTATTGATTTCAGTTTTAGAGAGAATAATGAGGAGCCGTGAGGCTCCTAG